AGTGCGTGGGGATTCGAACGACCCTGGCGCCTATCATTGGGGTCCAAATTTGAAGTAGAGTAGATTAGTATTATCAGCTGACCCTACTCAACTACTCTACTTCGAGTTTGGGCCGCAATGATGGGCCCAGAATCGTTCGAATCAACACGCACTTCGCCGCGCAATTTGCCGCGCGCATCCTCGGACGCACGTAAGTACCCATACCCATACGAACTCTTTGGCCCTTTTCTAGTCTAATCCATATTTTACTACTTCTCTTAAGCATTTCCTCGAATACGCCGATTTACAGTTTTCTTCACCCCTTTTGCACTCTTCTGAACTATCACTTATATCACTCGTATGAAACAATACTTCAAAATAATCGACAGACGTACCTTCGAAGGATTAAATATAACATGTCCAAATGAGAAGAACTTTTAGGCTATCCTCACAGTTCACCACATGCCAAAAATGATAAGCAACGCCGTCTTGCTACAGTAAACTATGCGTGCGCTTATCGATATCGTAGTCGTACCACGTCAGTGCTTCAAATAATAACGTTTACCCCGTTTCAACTAGTGAGAAGTAGGGGAAGACGACCACTGAGAAAAACACTTGAAACAAGAAAGACTGGAAAACTAGTGAGAAGCAAGCAACCGACGGCTTCAGTGCGAGTTTGAAGAAAAGTTCGTGCACATGAAAAGAAGCATTTCAGGTGAACAGCAATAAACTATTAACCAAGACTCATAAAGAGAACAACAACAATCGAACGAAAGGAAAACTCTGTAGGGCACATCGTGAATAATGAGAAGAGCCTGAGTATGGTTATGATAATGACCACATCATCGCGCAGACCTACTACGTATTGAACCAGACCTATAAGTCTAGAGGTAAATGCCTGGCAGATGTTCGAAAAAGGTCAACGCAAAATGAAAATCCGACTTTTTCAAACCCAACCCCAATATTGAGCTCTTACTTAACTCGGTAAAGAATGAATGCGTAGAGATATTTATCAGTTAAAGATACAACAAACTTATAAGTTATGCAATTGAACTATTAAATCATAGACCTTTATTTATGGCAGACACCAAGTCATAAAACGTACGAAAGTGATTATTAGGATAAAAGCAGCGTCACCCAAGAAAAATAATGCTTGTTCCCCATCTTCGCATAAGATACAACGTTCCAAACGTAGACAAATTAGGAAATTATTAAACTCACAGCAACATCACAACAACGGTCGAACATATCACAAGAAAGGATAAATAAAAACAATTTGAAGTTCACTTCCGTAGAACCATCTTTTTATGACTTCTGGGCAAGGTTCTGCACTAAGTTCACTAACATTTTACCGAAAACAGCATTATCACTGCTAACTTCGACGTTATCATCAGTCACACGTAGAATCACCAGGTCTTTCCTGGATCTTGTATGGCAAAGGAAAACCTGAACAAACCACTTAGAAGCTTACGGTGAAAGTCTCCCGCGAAGAAAAAGAAATAAAAATAGTATCAGCATAGAAAACAATAGGAAAAAGATAATAGCAAAAGATGAAGGAACTAATCAATTTGTTTCTCACCCCATTCGGCATCCTATAGGCATTGACGGCTTTCACGATGTCCTCACCACCCACTGGTGAAGATATCGCAGCCGAGTGACGATTAAGACCACTCATACGCCGTCGTTCTTTTTCGACTTCTTCATCCGGTATACGTATTGGCTGCACCTGCTCGCCAATGGGAACCTAATAATCAAATTTTGTAGAGCAAATTGTCGTGTCGTTCACGAACTAGAAAAAATAAATAAATTTAATATTTAGGCACCAAGTGCTGAGCACAAATATGGTAATAACCACATTAAAGTGAAAACTCAAATCAAAAGTTACAAGAGAAGAAAATACGACACCTCGATCGAAACACTTCTTCCGGTTTCGTTGAAATTTCTCGACAGCCTCCACTCTACTCGTCTTAAACTGTCCCCCAAATCCACCGATAATTCGAGGACATGAGAAGCTCCGGCAGGCAATGAATCAATCTGAGAAGCTTGTTGTAGGTATCATTAACCGATTTAAAATATCACTAATAAATTTTTGTTTGGGTATATCAATACTAACTTTCATTTTGATATAAATTAATCAATATACCAACATACTTCACCACAATACTGTAAAAGAAATGACCGGTTATTGAAGAAAAATGTGGAAGAAATTCCATTTTCCCCATCATTTTTCAATTACTTGAAATTTAAAGGAGCAGAGACACAAATCGCAGCTACTTTGGGGTGAGAACTGAAATCCTGCCCAAACTAGCCTTCCTACTGCCTACAACTTTCTGAGGTACATTAATGGAGGCATGTCACGCTTGAATTGAAAAATGTCGTTATACCGACCCACCACCCAAGGGATCTGTAAGTTTCCAACTCGTGAAGCAACCTATCTTTATTAAGATAATAAATTGAATCGAAATAATTCAAGAAACAAGCGCTTTCGCCAACCTCTGTACTTCCTTTGATGTCGAAACCTTCTGGTGGCGAAAATTTAATCCCTTCAATTGCTTCTTCAGTACCGTTGTGTAGGTGGAAGCGCAATGGTGTGTATTGAGCATCGTTCAGGCGAGGAAATGATAGAGACAGCTCGATGCCATTGCCTTCGATGGTGTTGAGGATAGGCCGCGATTCAGTCTGAGACATTGCAATATTTCCTCGATAATTCATTCCTTGTTCAGCTACACTTCTATAAGCATCTGGTGCTGATCACAGTCTTAAACTATTACACAGTTTCTTCGTATGCATCCAACAAACACAGTCTTTGAGTTTAGAGACTCACTGATACAAATTCAGGTTCGATGACTTGTCGACTTCCTGCAGCAGAAAAGTCCAGATCTAGCAACAGATCAATAGCTGTCTCAGTGCTTTTGGGTTCAGGTTTTTCTTTTGGCACGTTGGGATGTCCGTTCGCAGCGGTTGCAGTCTCTATAACTCATAATAAAGTATTTAAAAAGATGGAGTAATTTATTCCTGCCTTTGTAGGAAACAGACTTTTTTCATGTGACTTCGATGGGGGTGCTTTGACAGGAGCCTCTTCTTCACTTTCTTCTTCTTCTTCTTCAGACTCATCGCTTTCTTCCTGCAAAGCCTGATATTATAAGAACGATTCGAAAATTTTTACAAAAATATTTGAATGCGGCAACTACATACCAGGAAAAATCGCGAAATCAATGAACACCTATATTTCCCATTTGGTTTGCTTACCTCATCACTTTCGTCCTCATCCGACGTCTCATCATCTGCAGATCCCCCATCCTCTTCTTCCTCATCCTCGTCGTACTCCTCATCTTCGTACTCCTCTTCTTCCTCCTCTAAGCCTTCTTGTTCTTCATACCTATACTCTTCTGGAGAATTCGCTTCTCGGCGCATGGAAGCATCTGATGACACCTTAAAGAAGATAAACGCTGACAGTGCCACTTTTCTTACATTTAAAGGGAAGATTGAGAAAATAAGGACGATACTCCTATGTGCATTCTATGTGCGTCAAAAGTATACAATCAGGCCTAGGTGGCATACCTGAGGGAAGTTAGGCAGGTCCTGATATCTTGCGCAACGCTGATTAAGAGCATGCGACAACGTTCCCAGTTGAAACTGTTCCCGCTCTAAATGGAAGAATTTGATACACCATATAAACTGATCTTATAATCTTTCACCTTTGAAACTACTCTGAAGTGCTGGCGCTGGCTTCTTGTACATGAAAATTTCTTCAGCGTGCGCAGCAAGGACAGTTGTGTTGAAAAGAAGATTACGCAAAAACCGACATCTGAAATATTGCATTAAATGATAGATAGATAAAGTCTTTGGATGTTGACCAGTCCCATCTGAGGGATGTGCCGTATCGAGTTTCATTCAGAATCGTAGCGACGTACTGAATGGGTATATGGATTATACAGCAGTTTGTGGTGGCCAAATGATGAACGAGCCAATACTTTCAGCCTCTGAGACGAGTCTGGTACTAATTAGATGATCCCGGAAGGATAGAAGACCTGGTTGGTCGATCCGGAATTCGAACCGGTGACCATGCGCGTGTGATAGCGCGGCACTTGTCACTACATCACCCCGCCAGGTATTGTTAAAGAAAAAGAAAATCCTGATAGTTCTTCGCTTCGGCTCTTCTTTTTCTTGAAAAACGTTTTGCTCACACAAAGTAAGCCCCTTCAGACAAAGTTAAAAAAGAAGTCCCACTCGAAGACTGTTGGTCTAAGGTACTACGGTAATTACGAGACAGCTCTCGGTTCAAACGCTAATATAGGCGCCTCATGCAACTAACCCAGTTGTCTAATTTCTAGTATTTTCTATCTTCTGCTACCTTTGATCCACTAAGTAATATGAAACATGTTCACCCTCTGTAGCGAGAAATTCATCGAAGAACAATGTCTAAATTTTTAAATCTCGCAAAAATGCGCTATCAATTTGGCGATGAAAAAACCAAATACATTCGCACCTGTCTCTGACATCATAACTTAAGTCATATCGTGCCAATTGAAGAACGTATTGAACAAGTTTTTCGCAATCATCTCGGCGAATCATCCACAATTTTACGGCCAATTTGAGCGTTTCTACCTTAAGCATGAACGACTGGTCGTGCGCCTACTTTGTACTCTGAGATTATGGAAAAGAACATAACAATCACAAAAAAAAACAGCAAAAATCATTACGATAAACAAGCCTTGCCTTCACAATTTCATCTTCATTGACAAAATTCTTAGCCAAAATCCGTAGAAGATCCGGCGCCAAGTTCGGTACCTTAACAAGAGCGTTAAGCTATTGGAAGGGATTTTGTACTCGAGCCAATGTTTAGAATTTTAACGCTATTATTGAAACTCCAAATAGATTAAGGAAAAGCCTAACCGTCTCAACGTGTGTCGCAATCAGCCAGATTATACAAGCTCTTGCGGCTGGCGCTTGTATAGACCGGATCAGGCGTGCCAGACGAGACAACAACGTTACAGGAGCTTCCGCGTGAAGCAAACTAGAACCGATAATGGCTTTACGCGATACAACAATACCTGATGTTGAGATTCGTCTCATTGAAATCCTATATACGTACCTCTTGAGAACAACCACAGCCGAACAAACAACCTCTTCGTTCGGAGAAGCGATTAGTTGAACGAGGCCAGCCAGGCATTGCTCACTTACTGCCTTCACTCTAACTGCACACCTTCCAATGGCTTCAATTGCAGCTCCAGCCAAATCGCTCATACTCACATAAGTCTAAATAGTAAAAATAAAAAAGGCAGAGCGACTATTTGATCACAACAATGAATTGCCATTGCCAGTAATTATCAATGACGCGGCATTGCTCTGATGGAAAGATTTAAAACCAACTGAATGACTCAGAAGAAAAGAGCAACACGCTCGACCTGAGAAAATCCCCCTTCCTCATAACGAACGTCAGGTACAACCTTAAGAGTATTACTGCCTTTAAACATAAAGATTAAGGAAAAACAAAGTTCCACGCTGATTACACACTACGATACGAGAGAGCACCATTTAGCTTACATTCACAGAAAACTAATGGTTTTTAGGAAGCAGGAGGAATCTAAAGAAAAAGGAAAGCTGTGAGCCATCAAATCTATAAGGCTGGAGTTAGCATCAATTCTCCTTACTTTGAGATAGAGTGCTAGCTAGTGAGAGCTCGTACCTGCAGTTCTCGCAGAATGATATGCACGTTTGCTTCTGACACAAGGCTGGTGAGAATGTGCAGTTTCAACTCCTTCACAAAAGATGGATCCGACGACCGTACGAAGAAGGACTTCAAAAACGGGTCGAACATATTCTGAAAGAACAACGTCAGTTTATGAAGTTGAAGTTGAACTAAAAACAACATTGACTATCATCTAAACTACGTCAATCAACCATTTCCGTGCAATTTCTAAACTACTTACTCAAACAGTTACCGTAGGCAAGTTCAATTACTTAGTGCCAGCTGGTCGACAACATGCATATCAGGTCATCATGGTTACACACACCAATTGCTTACGATTACAACAAAAACGTGCACATGTCGATTCTGTAGACACTAGTGAAAATCACAGGCTGACTAAATGCTGATCCATATACAGCGCAAGACACCGGCTTCACACGCCCGAACATTCCGCCTAATTATTGCCTACTTTTGATATGGCATAGGTTCCAGGAAGTACCGGATTGCGCTCACAGATCGTCGCAATATTCAGAAGAACAACGTATTGCACTTCACGCGGCCCACGTAGAAGTCGTACCAGCGCACGAGCAACCTGAACGATTTCTATCGTCCCCGATTCTCTAGTTAGACAAAAAATGGAGCGTAAAAATAACAAAATAAAACATGCAGAACCCATTTCATTTTTCTTAACAAAACCCAGAGGATTTCCAGTAAAAACTTTGCAAACTGTATGAACGTGTAAAAACGGTAAAAAAGGCAAAATCACGCAGCAAGCTTGGCCTTGGTTCTAAAATTAACTACCTGAGAGAGTTGTGCTTTCGGAGCGGTATAGTAGAACAGTTGAGTTACCGCCATTACAACACTGCAGTTCCGTGACTATAAACAAAAATGAAGTATTGACAAAAAACATTAGCATGAATAATTGCAATCTAAATGAAACCTGTAAAAGAGGACGAGCTGAGTTAAGAAGAAGGGTAAGGTCTACATCTGGTTGCGGTAAAAGTTCAGGATCGGCCAATTCTGAACGCGCATATCTTGTAAGTAGATTTATCATCATGACCTGTAAAAAAATATTTTCAAAACAGATCGAAGGTTTTTTCAAATATTGCCTCTTAAAATAATGAGAAATTCGTACCTGACCCCATTCATCAACGTCTGCTAAAGCACGACACAATGCACGAAAGTGTTTATGGAGCAAGTCTAACCGATTAGGGCATATCTATAATAAAATCTATATCTAAGACTAACTATTCAAGTATAATAGATGGATCAAAATGCAGATACACCAAAAAATGAAACATTCGTGAAGCCTAACCTCCTCGAAGGCATAAACTGCGCTGCCCAGAACTAAGCTCCGTCTGTCCGCTAGAAGGAAATCAATGCAATCGACAAGCTCCGTTTCCAGTTCGGGATCCAAGGAGTACAACTTTGGAATGGCATGAGCTGCAACCTAAACCAAGGATGACTACAGGCATTGGAAACATTACGAAAAGAAAAAAAAACTTTGTCTGATCAATGGAAAATGAAAATTTGAAATTCTTCGGATACCTTTCTGACGTATGGACTCATATCACGAACAGAGTCTTTGATGGCCAGCAGCATTATAGGAGCAATCATGCCAACTCGGATTGAGGACAACACACGGAGTGCACTGGCTCTTATGAGCTGATTGGGATCCTAGAATATTAAAGGTAACATGTTGACACCCGTACTACTAGCTGATAACTCTATGGTACAACAGGCACTCATAACTTACCTTCAGAGCTCTTTGGAATGTACTTATTGATAACAAGGCTAAATCCTGTTGTTCTTCCGCATAACGCACAAGATATACGTAGACGAGTTTTTTCAACTAAAACTCAATTAGTAAAATTACTATTGAAGAGAAGACGTCAAAACATTTAAAAAATTACCTCAACATTCTTGGCCGCAACATTTTTCACGACAGCTGGAAACAACTCGCTGACGTCTTTACCTTTTGCGATTAACTGAACGAAATAGAGATTAGTCGAGCAAGCTCTAAAGATCAAGGAAACACAATCTAATTGAAAATCACGAACGTTTATAATCCGTTTCATCGCATCCACTTTCAAATTGTCTTTACTGCTGTCTAACATGGTCTTCAAGTCGGCAAAACGGCTAAAGTAGTAATGAATCAGTTATTGTTGAAAAAGTCAAAGCAATAATCCAACCAAAAATGAGTATAAATTTACAGAAAACGCCTTTCATGGCACTACCGCTTTCAGCAGTGTTCACATTTTGCTAAAGCTTACGTTCTGTTATCAAGAATGACTCCTCCTTCTGATATCTCCATTTCCGGGCTAGTGAGACCTTCAGGAAATGCCATCCTCATCTAAAAATAGAACTAATGCAACTGAATAAGAATCATAACCACAAGTCATAATTCGGGGAAAAAACAATGGTGTACAATGCAAAATATACTAACAAAGCAGGAGTAAAAACCTCATGAAATTAAGCACAACAAGCAATGACCAATATTTATTCATTATTAGGATTTAATTCACGAAAG